AATACGAATTAAACATTATGTTTTTATTTTTCAATTATTGCCCACACAACAAAGTAAATAAATAAAACATTAGATTGCAAAACAATGTACCATCTAACAAAAATACATTTCGAGGTAGTTATTAAGTTTTTTTAAAATAGACTTAAGCGAATCGAATAGATTTCAAAAAATGTTCTCTACACTCCACTGCTCTACATGGAAACCCCTTCGTTAAGATTTACATTGCTGATTACGGTCTCTTAATTTTTATTTTTTTGCCACTAAACTTTACAAAGAGCGTCTAAAAATGTTCCATACATACAAATAGTTGGTGGTTGCCAAATATTCATAGCAATAATGCTTTTTAACTCAACAAATTTGTGAAGTAGAATTGTTCAAATAAAGGGACAGATTGTGGATTAGACTTTTATGCTCACATAAACATAGAATCGAAAATGTATCATTGCTATCGCCTCCTGGCAATGTTACTCGTGGAACTACATCTTAATTATTGTTGGAGGGGACTGATGAATCTATATTATTAGACTTGATGTATCTCTGTCATTAATTACGTGCTCCCAACGTTTTCCAATTCCAATCCAGTTAAGATAAGATTATTTATGAATTCTAATATGCTAATACCTCACCACACTCAGTACAAGAGGAATCGGTGGTTCAAAAAATTTTTTTTTTAACTTTCTTTAGTTAAAGTTTTTTCCTAGTGTGTACTCTCAAATGTGTTTTCAAATTACTTCTTTGAGAAAACTGCTTAAAACAAACTTCGCACTTGTAAGGTTTTTCCTCAGTGTGCACTCTCAAATGTACTACTTGCAAATTCCTTTTTTGAGAAAATTGCTTAAAACAAATTTCGCACTTATAAGGTTTTTCTTCAGTGTGCACTTTCAAATGTGTTTTCAAATTACTTGTTTGAGAAAACTGCTTAAAACAAATGTCACACTTGTACCGTTTTTCCTCAGTGTGCACTCTCGAATGTGTTTCATTATCAGATGTGTTTTCAAAGTGTTTGTGTGAGAAAACTGCTTAAAACAAATTTCACACTTATAATAAGGTTTTTCCCCAGTGTGCAATCTTAAATGTGTCTTCAAATGATGTACTTGGCGAAACTGTTTAAAACAAATTTCACACTTCTAAGGCTTTTCTACAGTGTGCACTCTCAAATGTGTTTTCAGATTACATGCTTTATTAAATTGTTTAAAACAAATTTTACACTTGTAAGGTTTTTCCTCAGTATGCACTCTCAAATGTACTTGCAAATTACTTTTTTCAGAAAATTGCTTAAAACAAATTTCACACTTGTAAGATTTTTGTTGAGTGTGCACTTTCAAATGTCTCTTCAATGTACTTGTTTGAGAAAACTGCTTGAAACAAATGTGACACTTGTACGGTTTTTCCTCAGTGTGCACTCTCGAATGTGTTTTCAAATGACTTGCTTGGCTAAACAGTTTCGAACAAATTTCACACTTGTAAGGCTTTTCTTCGGTGTGTGTTAGCAAATGTCTTTTCAAATTACTTATTTGAGAAAACTGCTTGAAACAAATTTTACACTTGTAAGGTTTTTCCTCAGTGTGCACTCTCAAATGTCTTTTCAATGTACTTGTTTGAGAAAAAAGCTTAAAACAAATTTTACACTTGTAAGGTTTTTCCTCAGTGTGCACTCTCAAATGTCTTTTCAGAGTACTTGTTTCAGGAAACTGCTTAAAACAAATTTCACACTTATAAGGTTTTTCCTCACTGTGCACTCTCAAATGTCTTTTCAAAGTACTTGTTTCAGAAAACTGCTTAAAACAAATTTCACACTTGTAAGGTTTTTCCTCAGTGTGCACTTTCAAATGTCGTTTCAAATTACATTTTGAGAAAACTGCTTAAAACAAATGTCACACTTGTACGGTTTTTCCTCAGTGTGCACTCTCGAATGTGTTTTCAAATGACTTGCTTGGCTAAACTGTTTCAAACAAATTTCACACTTGTAGTAGGCTTTTCTTCAGTGTGCATTATCACATGTGTTTTCAAAGTGTTTGTGTGAGAAAACTGCTTAAAACAAATTTCACATTTGTAAGGTTTTTCTTCAGTGTGCACTTTCAAATGTGTTTTCAAATTACTTGTTTGAGAAAACTGCTTAAAACAAATTTCACACTTATAAGGTTTTTCCCCAGTGTGCACTCTTAAATGTGTCTTCAAATGATGTAAATGGCGAAACTGTTTAAAACAAATTTCACACTTGTAAGGCTTTTCTACAGTGTGCACTCTCAAATGCGTTTTCAGATTACATGCTTTATTAAATTGTTTAAAACAAATTTTACACTTATAAGGTTTTTCCTCAGTGTGCACTCTCAAATGTACTTGCAAATTACTTTTGTCAGAAAATTGCTTAAAACAAATTTCACACTTGTAAGGTTTTTCTTCAGTGTGCACTTTCAAATGTCTCTTCAATGTACTTGTTTGAGAAAACTGCTTAAAACAAATTTCACATTTGTAAGGTTTTTCCTCAGTGTGCACTCTTAATAAATGAATTTTCAAATTAATTGTTTGAGAAAACTGCTTAAAACAAATTTCACACTTAAAAGGTTTTTCTTCAGTGTGAGTTATCAAATGTTTTTTCAAATTACTTATTTGAGAAATCTGCTTGAAACAAATTTTACACTTGTAAGGTTTTTCTCCAGTATGCACTCTCAAATGTGCTTTCAAATTATGTGCTTGGCTAAATTGTTTAAAACAAATGTTACACATGTAAGGTTTTTCTTTAGTGTGTGCTATCAAATGTCTTTTCAAATTAGTTTTCCGAGAAAAATGGTTACAACAAATTTCACAGTTGTAATGTCCCTGTCTAGTCTGAACTTTTACATTTTTATTCATGGTTTTCCCTTTAATGTATTGACTCATATAGTGTCCTTTATAGGATGAATGTTCAAAAAAAGTCTCCATAATTTTCGTTTTGTTCTGCTTCTGAGTAAAACCTAAAATAAAAACCATTTTTTAGAAGGGAAAAATGAATTCAGACAAAGTAAAGTGGAATTGTTAAAATGTTTTTTGCAGGCAGCTAAATTCTACCCAATAATACACTAAATATGCTTTAGGCACCTGCGTTTCTGTCTTGTAGATGCATAAGTTGTACCTTTGTTTTCAACAAGCCTTTAGAAATCCATAAAAATATGATAAGTCAATTAAAGCTACCAAATAATACAATATACAGTTGAGTTTACAGAAAGTACAAGCTGAATATAGCCCGAAATGTCAAACATATTTGGGTTTGGCAGTGTTGGGATGTTTTTATAATGCATGTTACATGCTTCAAATATAAAGAGAGAAAGCTTTTAAAAAGTACATTTTGATTATACTATTTAATGAATCCTGCAATTTTTAATTTATATGAAACAATAACGCATAAATATTTGTCTCTTTCAAGATCAATTGCAAACATCTGTTTCAATCTGACAACTGCTGTTTTGACGATTGCCAAATCTATCAAAGGGTAATTGCCAAAATAAAATCTAATAATTAACTGCAATTAATCTCCAAGAAAACAAATACTTACCCATTCTTGTTTTATATAAATCAAAAATTGCAGAATTTATAACATAATATAAACAAAATGTACTTTTCTAAAGTTTTATCATTTTATATTTGAAGCATATAGCAAATACATTTTAAAAACATGCCAACACTGCTATACCGAAATTTGTTGTTCTATGTTTGACATTTGTGGCTATAATCAGCTTGTACTTTGGTTTTTTTCAAAATACAGGAATCCTCGAAATTGAATTCAGGTTTCCGAGTAATTGCATGTTCTGCGAGTGCACATTTTGGCAAAAGAAAAAAAACCATACAAAACGTGTTTTCTTGGAAATGTGTTTAATAAAATATAGTACATCTTGCATAAATAAAAAGTCTGACATAGATAAATTGAGCAACATTTATTGTTATTTACTGGAAAATCATCAATAATAAAATACATAACTACCTTTACCTACATATTCTTGTACGCACAACTGGTTGCATACCATTAAGACATATTGAATAATCAAAACTCCCCAATTAGGGCCTCTTGTTTCTTGAAAACAAATACAATATTAAGAACAACTAATTACTTTTTAATAAGATTGTTTTTTACTTTCAATTCTCTATGGATCAGAGTCAAAACACACTATCAAAAGAAGTCATGAAATAAACTAAGTTTTACTATCTGGACCAAAATTTTTAAAATTTTTAGAATGTATTGTCCATTATTATATTTTATATTTGTGTTGTTAATGTTGAGTGTCCAAGTTTATTTTAAATAATCTCAATGACTAGTAAGTAACACTGACAAATTGTGATATTTTTTAAATATTTACACATTTTTTATATATATTACAGTGTTCTGAAGAAGGAAGAAAATAATTCTGAAAGCTTGACAAAAAGTCAAAAGAGTGTTTCTCTAACATCTTGGCCAACCTTCTGACTACAGCCCTAATAAACTGGTGTTTTTGTTTATAATATCGACAGTCACTAATATCCTGTATTTCTTGTATATGTATTATATATATATATATATATATATATATATATATATATATATATATATATATATACAGTGTACTTATAATTATAATTTAAAAGCTATTATTACAGAAAACACTATTACATAATTATTAAATATTTAGCTTTATACAGAAATATACTAGTGATCCTAAGTTGTGGGGCCAAATCCTAGATTCTAGATCCAGAACCTAGATTGTAAAAATTGTGTTAAAATCTATTTCTGATAGTTTTTCAAAATGTGTATTTTTTACATCATATCTGCATCCCTATAATGTAATTTAACCTCATCATTTATTTACATTTCAGCATTTCTTTTCAGGTTCCTAAAGCTCATATCCTTGTACTTGTACTGAATAACCTAAAGTGTTATGAAAGTAACTAATAAACATCATAGGACTCAATTTATCAAACATGTAAAAGTTCAGTAAATATATTGAATACATGAAAGCTCTAAGACTTTATATTTTAATCATTTATCTTACCAGAGTTATACTCATCTGATTCATTCTTCATTTCTCCCAGATCAAGTGATGTAGATAACTGATTCTCTAGATATGTTGGGTCACCTTCAACAAACTCTTCCTTAATGCCAGTTTTTACTGAAACAGCTAATAAAAAATTGGAATTCATACATCACATTGTTTGGTGAATTAAGTATTTGCAAAGAATATATAAGATAGGCATATACATCTATATTCTTTGGCATTTGTTTTCATTTGACTTACCTGAGTTATTTTCTAGTTCATTCTTCAATTGCTCAAGATCTGTTGATGTGGATAGTTGCCTATGTATATCTCTTTCGTCAGATTCAACAGACTCTTGCTTAATTTCAATATTAAATTCCATTGCAAAAAAATATACCCCTTTATTACACTGTTGTGAAAAATATAAATTTATTTAGATTTAGATGAGTTCAGTTCACCGAAAGTAAAGCTGAATCAGAGATTATCTCTGAGCTGAATATAGCCGCAAATGTCAACCAACAACTAGTGGTGTTGACAAAGGGAGACTCCTTGGGAGTTTAGATGTTTTTAGGAAAAATCCCGGACATGGCCCAAGATCTGTTGATATGGATAGTTGCCTATGTATATCTCTTTCGTCCGATTCAACAGACTCTTGTTTAATTTCAATATTAAATTCCATTGCAAACAAATATACCCACTTATTACACTGATGTGAAAAATATAAATTTATTAAAATAATTTTAGACGATCCGACGCGCAGATATTTCTTTTCAACTTTCAAGTAGTTTCAAGGTCATAAACCTGACCTGACACATGACATGTCAAAAATTTAAAGCAGTAAGCGGTAACTAAAATAGTAAGCACCGTAAGCAGTTTAATTGTCAAAAATAACAGGTACTAAACATCAAATATCAAATGAAAACCAAATACCACACCTTTTAAATACAGTAATAAACAAAACAATATTTTTTAATCAAGTAGTGAACAAAGACCATCTACTCCATTGGTGTAAATGGTCTTTGGTAGTGAAATAATTCGGTCATGAAATACAGAAGAGAAACATGATCCCAATAAATATGCATGGTTAATAGATCATTGTTTTAATTTCTTTCTACCTATCATAAAGCTGTGATAATTGAATGTATCTATTATAATTTTTTTATATTAAATATTGAACTTTACTTCTTGCATTAATGTGGTAAGTTATTTGTATGGCAATAAAATGTATAAAAGTGTCTAAAATATAATTAAATTTTTAGTGTGTGGCAAAATGGATAATAGTGATGCCTTGCTAGATAATGCTATAGAAGCAGCCAAGAAAGCTGTGCAATTTGACCAAGAAGGTGAGCAAAGAATTGCTTCATACTATTATGAAGCAGCAGCACGTTTTTTGGGACAACTTGTGGTTTCAATAGCCTCAGATGATCCTGAAAAAGCACAATCACTGCAAGAAAAATCTAATCAGTATAAATCAAGGGCAAATGAATTAAGAAATAATGTACCTCAGGAACATAAAACAATAGATGAAGATGGGAGTAAGTCTAGGTTAGTGATAAATATCCTTATTTTTAGGAAATGTTTTTAGAAATACTTAAATTTGTTTTAAAATATCTTCAAATCCAGATATTCAGTCTAAACTTCAGCTACTATCCTGATAATATTCCTTCTCATTTTCTCATAAGATGTGGTTATACTTTGAGTAAACCCATTTGCATGTTGTTTAATCAGAACACATACAAAACAGTTTTGTCACACCTATACATAAGTTGGGACTGGGATCAGTAAACCTAGTATACCTAAGAATAAGTGTCAATATAAAAATAATCCCTTTGTGCTTATATTGTGATCAAAGGTATTCTTTTCTATAAGCTCTCTCCTTGCAATTTGTACTGCAGCTAATCAGCTTCTTTTACATCCTTCATTAATTATTATGTAAGTCCTTGAGATTTTAGCAGATCTGCTGTAGATAGCTTGATTGCTTGAAAGGAGGTACTGGTGGATACCAACATATAGAATTTTTCATATAAAAATGATTGCACATCATTCAAGATTTACGACTCAGAACCCACAGCATTGCCAAAACATCAGAATAGTTAGTAAGTGAGGAATTTTTAAAATGTCAACTATTTGTCAAACTATTATAATAACAGTAAATACACTTAAATTTTAATACTACTGCAACAAACTAAAATACATAAGAAAACATTTTAATACAAAATTATATATCCTAAATTTTAAACTTACCTACCTCTTTTAGAGCATTAATAGTAAAAATGTCCCGCCATTATTTCTTGTTCAAAATAATCTACCTTATATGAAAGCTTATCAGCTTTCTACAGACTATTTAGTTGTTTTGGCATAGCACAATCACAATACACAACAATAATTAGTTTTTAAAGCTATTAATCTAAATTTAATATGTATTTATAAATACAATTTATTAATATATTATAATATATTATGATCAAATTGTGTAAGAAATCATCGAAGTCGGTTTTTTATGAACACTATGTTTATGATTTCAAAAACTGTAATTTTAATTCTTTTAACCTTTATCTGTCTTCAGATAATTGGGATGCATTATACCATTGTAATAATATTAATGAGGCTTGTCAAATATTTTACATCTATATGTATCAGTGTTTAGATATTGTTGTTCCTATAAAGGCTCTCAAGTGTTCCTACAAGTTCCCAATTTGGTTCTCAATAAAACTTAAAGATCTTATTCAAAAGAAAAAAGCTCATCTGAGGTTTAAATTATCTAAATCAATAGAGGACTACTTATTGTTCTCTAATCTACTGTGATCAATGTAAAGTTGAACATATACTTTGTCAGAAACAACATTTTTCGTCTCTTGAAAAAAATTTAATAATAACCCCAGGGAATTTTGGGGAACATTGACAGACTTCGAAATTCTTCCAGTTACCCCCAAGAAATGTATCTTGTTAACAGAAGGGCACAATGCAATATCAAAATTGCTAACCTTTTTGATGAGTTCTTCTCTGGTATATATGAGAAAGATAATGGTGCTCCCATTCCAGATTTTGAAAACTGTGTCAGACACATTGACCCTGTAAACCTAATTCAAGTTGACACTTTATCAGTGTTTGATGAATTAAGAAAACTTCCAAACAAATTCTCCTCGGCGCCTGATTGAATCCCACCGGTATTATTAAAGCACTGTCTATGCTCTTTTACTATGCCTCTAAAATATCTTTATAATTTATCTCTTATGACTGGTGAGTTACCTTCTTTCTGGAAGAACAGTTATATTGTACCCATTTTTAAGTCAGGTAAAAGGGAAGATATTGAAAAATACTAAGGAATTTGTATACAGTCAGCAATCCCAAAACTTCTCGACAAGCTAGTGACTTCTAATGATGGGAAAACCTGGTTTGTTTCAGTAACCTGGATCTTCCAGATCCTCCTACGAAAACAATTCCAGGCGCTGTATATAATTCCTAATAATATCTTGTAAACTACATTTAAAACTGTTATGCCCCTATAATTTTTGGAGAGTTGTTTGTCTCCCTGTTTGCACATAGGAACTATTATTCCTACTTTCCAATCTTCTGCGATGACTTCTAGTGTCCATATGCGGTCGATTAGTTTATGGATACGCCTCCATAGCGCATGTCCACCATTCTTTATCAGTTCTGCAGTTATTCCACCTGTGCCAGGTGCTTTGATATTTTTTAAATGTTTTATGACATTTATCGTTTCTTCCAATGTTGGTTGCTCAATTAGTTGTTCTGCTGTATGGTGAATTATTTCTTTGTCTTCATTTTGTTCTTTTTCTGGGTTTAACAGCTCTTGAAAATGCTCCTTCCACCTTTTCATTATTTTCTCTTTCTCGCTGATAATTGCCCCATTTTTGTCCTTGCAAACTGTAGATTTTGTCATGTATCCTTGGGTGTATTGCTTGGTTTCCTTGTAAAATTTTCTAGTCTCTCTTCTGTTATTATAATCTGTAATTTTTTGTATTTTTCTATTCAACATTTCTCACTTTTTCCTTCTACATATTTTCTTTGCATCTTTTCTGAGTTCTTCATATGCCCTTCCATTCAATCGCGAATCCCTTTGTTGACATTTCTGTCTCTCTATATTATTTCTATTTATTACTTGTTGGCAATCTTGGTCAAACCATTCCTCGTTTCTTTTGCTTGAGGTTTCACCTAATGTTTCCTTTGCTATATTTGTACACACTTCTTGGAAGTGAGGATAGGAATTGAGTAGGAGAGGCTAGAGGTGTTATCTGGAAGCAACACCTTACGCCTCACTACTCCTTTGAACCCCCTTAATTATAACTATTACAATATTTTATCAAAAAGTATTAAACAACTAAGCTGTAATAGTTTCGATAAAGTTATAAAAAAATATCTTCTAAAACAATGTTTTTACTGCTCAGAAGAATCTAAATGACCGTTTTTCTGTTTAATATGTGTTCTTATTTGTATATATTTAAGTTACGTTTTATACTCCTTTTTTAATACTATGTATTTTTTTGACTAGCTACAAACAATATTTGTATTTGTTATGTAGTTAAATAAATACTCTACTCTACTTGTATAATATGTACTTTAGCTACTATTTAATAGTACTTACTGTTAGTAGTTAAGTACATACCGTTTACCTTCTTATTTTTTAATCAGGTTAAAAGAATGTTACTTTTTATTAAACCAAGCCATAGATGAAGATGAAGGGGGAGATAAAGAAGATGCAGTGGAGTTATATGCCAAAGCTATTGAATATATTACCCAGTATCCTGATTTAATGCAGGGAGAATTAAAAGCTCTTATTATGCAGGCTTTGGAAAGAGCTGAAGAATTAAAAGGTAATTATTGAAGATTTGTTATTTCACTGATGCTTCTTTTGTATTTAAATCTACTATTACTTTTCAAATTCTTGTAGTAATCAAAGATACACTCTTATCTCTGTCATTTGATACTTAAAATCTAGACTTGAACAACAGTCTAAAAGGTACATGACGAAGAAGCTTGTTCAAAATGCAGTAAAAACTATACTTAATATTGTTTTTATTATTCAGTGTTTGATCTGTTTGCTTTAGGAATAAAAAGAGAATCTCCAACTACTTCAAGTACAGAACCATCCCCTACTAATAGTAAACCATTTAATCCTGTTCAGCAAAGGCCAGTTATTACTCCCAAACCTCAACCAAGAGCTGTTAGGCCAGTGACAGCGTCTGATGGTAGTGGATATACAGAAGAAGAAAAAAGGGTACTCTTGCATACCTCAAATATTAATGGAAGGAATTATGTTCCTTTTATGAACATAGATTTGTCAGAAAGGTAATGTCTATATGTCTCATTCTTTTATATATGAGTTACTACCACAATTATTGTACTACAGGACAATTTTATTTAAGACTATATAAGAAAACTTATTTTTTATTGACAGGTTTCAATATTCAATACCTTTCTCAGATAAAGATGGCCATTTACAGTTGTCTCCCAAGCAAAGAAGAGATTTTTACAAATTTGTAAGGCCAGAGGAAATATGCTCAGACCCTTGCATTGTCTATGGGTCAGCTCCGAACTATTTAAGTATAAAACAAACTGTGATATCTGATTGTTCGTTTGTGGCCAGTTTGGCAGTTAGTGCTTCATATGAAAAAAGGTAAGACCATATTTAGATCTCAATTTAATATTTGAATAAATTGTGTAATGTGTGAATAAAATATTTATCAAAATAACTTCCAAAGTATGGCTTAACTTTCATTTTTTTATCACATTCTATTGAAAATATTGCCTGTTACTTAAATTATAATATAGACATTTTTATTCTTCTTCTTTTTCCTCTTTTAAGCAATTCTGCTTGTTCATTGGCGGGTTAATATCTGTATGGAAGGTTGTCAGTCCATCTTTTGTGTGGTCATCTAATACTTCTTCTGCCAATTGGTGACTTATCTCTTGCTATTTTGACGACACGGGTCTCCTCCATGCTGCTTATGTGGTTATTCCATTATTTTTTATTTTGTGTTCATTCGTTTATAGGTACGCTATGTGAATTTTGGGATTTTTCCCGAAAAATATTAATTTCTGGCGGTTTTCTGAAGATAATTGTAATTGTGCTAACTAATTATTAATCTTCTCGAAATTTGGTATATTTAAATTGATTATTGGTAAATAAATAAACTTTTATTTATCCAGTTAATGTGAAGTAAGTGAAGAAGAAAATGTTTCCAACAGGAAACGGACCAAGATCAAATAATTTTCAATACCCTACAGTGCAGTTTCCAACTCTAATGCAGAACGAGCCTACAAATCTAATACATCTGTATTACCAAGTAAGTCAAATAAATACTCAAGATCCACCATTGTGCTCAAATCAACCAAGTCAACCAAATGATACCTTTTGATAATTATCGACAACAATATCAGGTACAGCCAGTAGTTGCCCAGCAAACCAACTTGTCTATTCTACATCAAACTCTCAAACTAACTTAAAAAACAATCCAGAAACACAGAATGAATATGATTCTATGTCAGATGAAGAACATGAAGACTCTCAAAATAATAAACACCCATGGCAAACAATAACATCAAAAACAAAAAGGCTTAAACGTCAAGATTCAAGAGAAGAATAAGCTCCAATTACACTCTCAAATAGGTTTCAGTCACTTCCACAGGAAAACTCCGTAAATGATGTGAATAAAAATTTACCAATTTCAAAACCCCCTCCAATTTTTATATATGGCGTGAATGACTATAGTAAAATGATAGATAATTTAGCTCAAGCAGTAGAAGTAGAAACTTACATCACTAAAGCCTTAACAAACAACACAATAAAAATTTTACCAAAGACACCTGAATCTTACAGAAAACTAATACATCACGTACGAGAGGAAAATATCGTCTACCATACATACCAACCTAAGGAAGACAAGCATACAGAGCAGTTATTCGAGATCTACATCACTCTTTTCCGATAGATGAAATAAAAGTGGAAATCCAGAAAAAGGGTCATAAGGTAAGGAACGTTACAAATGTCAGACACAGGTTGAGCCGTGAACCATTACCATTATTTTTTGTGGACCTCAAGCCTCAAACGATAAACAAAGAAATATTTGAACCACAGTATATATAACATTGTAAAATAAGGGTTGAACCACAGAGGATTAAAAGAAATATATCTCCATGTACACGATATCAAGTATATGGTCACACTAAAACGTACTGTGCAAACCCATATAATTGCGTAAAATGCGCTGGATCACACAACACAAAGTACTGCAAGAAACCAAAAACACGCCAGCAACTTGCACTAACTGCAACGGAGACTATCCTTCTAATTACAGAGGATGTTCTGTTTATCGTGAACTACTAAATGTCAGATGCCATGACAAATCAAAACAAATCACCACTCAAAATCCTGTCAACAATCCCAATGTAAATATACCTACCCAACATCATGCTCATAATTTCAACAGAATCAGTTATAGAGATGCCATTGGAAACATAAATGCAGATAACAAAATTAACAACAATGAATTAGCAGATAAACTATCAAATTTCCTAAACGAATTCAAAAATATGTTCTCTCAACTCTTAAACCAAAATAGCATGATTTTAACCATGTTAACTAAGTCATTAACAAAATAACAAAATAGCTTTCAAGTCACTACGAATTGCGTCGTGGAATGCTAATGGCATTTCAAACCATATATTAGAGATATCACTGTTAAAATAAGTGCATTTTTAGCATTTTTTTACCTTCAATGTCATCATCATTATCATTATTTCCAGAAGAAAATTTGATTCAGTGATTCTTCATTCTTGATACCTGACCCTCTAAAGTTATCCCACAGTTTTTACACTTTGCTCTTTTACCTTTTCTGCTGCTAAGTTTAATACTTTCAAAGGAATTCCATACTAGTCACGTCTTCGTCTCAATCTCTATAATGACCGGTCTTAAATTATTACATTTTTGTTGAGATAACACAATGATGAAAAATTTAAATACATATTACTAGTGTAAAATTACAGTTGTTTTAATTATTGGAATAATTTAAAATATATTAATTTAAAAATTTAATCATCAAATTTGTATTTATAGTTTGTTGAGCTGTAGTTTTCATTATTAGGATAATATCAACAATATAGAGAAAAACATTAAATCAATAAATAAACCATGGTTTAAATAAATTGATTAAAAAAAACAATTGGTTTAAACCTGCCAACCCTGTGTGGCATAATATATTGCAACATTACCTGTTGCCACAGACAATCTGTGGCTTTGTGGCATGGTGTTTATAAAAAATGTAAAAATTGATGTACTTAAGTATACAAAAATTGTATATCTACATAAAAACATTTTTTCACAAATAAACATTAAGTAGACCATTTCTAAACCACCTACACAATAATTTACTCTTTAGGTTTGGTCGAAAACTAGTTACAGCTATTATCTACCCCCAAACGAAGGATAATAAACCGATATATAATCCATTTGGAAAGTATATGATCAAATTACATATCAATGGAATCCCAAGGAAGGTGATAATAGATGACAGTTTACCTATAGATAGATATGGCAGGTTGTTATGTTCATATTCAGCAAATAAAAATGAATTTTGGATATCACTTTTAGAGAAAGCTTATATGAAAGTTATGGGAGGATATGATTTTCCAGGAAGCAACAGTGTAAGTATTTTACTTTATTTACATACTAAAGAAAGAAAAAAGTGTGGAAACAAAGTAGTAAATATGGACCATATTCTAGGTTTGTGCATTAACGAGGAGTGGTGCACAACTATTTGTATTTTGCTTAGGCTGTGTGCTATGTAAATATATACATTTGTTTATTGTTGTAGTGGACTGTATTTATTGAAATTAATTAATAGTCTAAAATACTGCATTTATTTATGAATTTGCACAAAAATATGAAAACAATAACAAATAGTTCTATGCTTCTCAACGGCTGGTGATGGAATGTCATTCTGTCATCTGTCGTCTGTACCGACTAGCTGGCTGGCTGGGCTGCAGTGGCGGACCGTTCAAATACAAAATGGGTTGTCGTCGACATACTCCCGGCCTTGAAAGATCCTGAATCTTTCAATTTAATGGAAGGAGAGGACATATTTTGGAGAATGACCTCGTGATGATACCTTCTTGAGTCTTTATTTTTGCAACTCTAGCGGTATTCTGCGATCCGTCATGTATGTGAGTTATTCTGCCTAGTTTCCACTTTGCTGGTGGCAGACAGTCATCTTTGATAAGGACTAAAGTTCCTTCTACTAATTCTCCCTTGGATATTTGCCACTTAGAACGTCTCTGTAGCTCGACGACGTATTCGGAAGACCATCTCTTCCAGAAACTTTGGAAAATTTGTTGGATGCGTTGAAATCTATTGAGTCGTTGTGGAATCTCTTGGAGTAGATCTGGTTCTGGAGCTAGCGTTGGCATTCTACCGATGAGGAAATGAGCGGGACAGAGTGGTGTTAAATCATTAGGATCAGGACTAATAGGACACAAAGGTCTGGAGTTGAGTACTGCTTCTATTTGTGATAGTATTGTTGCAAACTCCTCAAATGTAAGATTTGTATTTTTAAGTGAACGTTTTGAACGTGAAATGATGTTTTGAATCCAAGACAATGGGATGTTTTTTGTCATATAGAAAATCCGAGTTAGCCAAGCGACCACCAACACGTATTAAACCATCCTGGTCAATAAATGGGTTTAAAGAGAAGAGCTTGCTGTTGGAACTAACGCTTTTTTGTTTTGACAGCTGATCATACTCTTCGCGAAAAGAGTGTAGTTGTATGATCTTCAATAAATAACGACGAGCGTCATTAATATTGGTTAATGTTAGAGAGCCACACTCTCTAAGAATTTTGGGTGTTAATAAATTATTTTTAAATCTAAGGATGTATGCAAATGCGCGCAGTAAACGCGAATATTGTGAAAAGGCCTTGAATGGAAACCATTGTTCTTGCTGAGAATAGGAAACAAAATTGAGAATAGTTTGAGATTTTATTTCGGGTAGAATGTCTACCTTTGGATTTAAAAGGGGCCAAAATTCTTCCCTTAAAGACAACCATGACGGACCGTCCCACCATAGTGAAGAATTTAGTATTTGAGAAGGAGATAATCCCCTTGATAGATGGTCTGCAGGATTATCTTGTGTGGGTACATACTTCCATGTATAGGACTTTGTTAAGACCTGAATTTCGGAGACTCTGTTAGCTACGAAGGTTTGAAGATTGTTAGGAGAAGTATTGATCCAAGCAAGGGTTATTGTGGAATCTGACCATAAATAACATTTATTGAGGTCTATATTAATGGATTCAATTACCTTAGTTAAAAGACGTGAAAGTAATACAGCTGCGCAAAGCTCTAGGCGTGGAATGCTTAGAGTTTTGATAGGGGCAACCTTTGATTTAGCACATAGAATTTTAACCGAGATATTTCCCTTGTCATCAGTACTTCTTAAATAGATACAAGCACCGTAGGCTTGTTGTGATGCGTCCGAAAAACCGTGTATTTCTATATCTTTAGCATTATTGCACACTGCATGACGTGGTATACTTAATTGTTTCAGATTGGCAAGATCATTTTTCAATCTATTCCAAGTATTTAGTGATGAACCGCTTAATTTTTCATCCCAATTCAGTTTTTCAGTCCATAGCCTTTGCATTAGAATCTTCGCAAGTATGATACAAGGACCTACTAAGCCTAGTGGATCGTATATTCTTGCAATTAAAGAAAGAACATCTCTTTTGGTACAAGTTTCCTTGTAATTGTTATATTGTACATTGTATAATAGTGAATCACGTTGGGATGACCAAATAAGTCCTAAAGTTTTTGTGACTCCATCTTTAGAGAGGTTTAGAATTCCAAAGGAATCATCTTGATTATTTACCCTTTCTAAAACTCTTGGGTCATTTGAAATCCATTTTCTGAGTGGAAAACAACCTGTAAGTAAAATACGTGAGACTTCACGGCAAATGTTCGAAGCTTCAGTAATAGTATCCGCACCGGTTAACAAGTCATCTACGTAGAAATCCTGACGTAATATCTTCGCGATTTCTGGTTGCGACAATTGGCATTCGTTAGCTAACTCGAAAAGGCATCGGATAGCAAGAAAACTGGCTGATGCTTGGCCATAAGTAACCGTATTTAAAGCAAAATGTTGTAATGGATCTGAAGGACTTTCCCTCCAGACTATTTTTTGAAGACTGCGTTGGCTGGGATGAATTAACACCTGCCTGTACATTTTGGTTACGTCTGAGCTTATGATGAATTTGTGTTTTCTGAATCGGATGAGAATTGAGAATAGATCTTGTTGTATACTGGGTCCGACGCATTGAATATTGTTTAATGATAACCCGTTGCTTGTTGGTGAAGATGCGTCAAACACGACACGAAGTTTTGTTGTAAGACTGTCCTCCTTTAGGACACCATGATGTGGCATGTAGTAGTCGACAGTAGAGTTTTCAGAGATATCTGCTAACGACATGTGGTTTAGCTCCTGATATTCGCGCATGAATTGTATATATTGTTCGCGAAGAGGATTGTTTTGTGCTAATCTTTTTTCTAGATGATGAAATCTTCTTTCAGCTTGTATCCTTGAATCACCCAACACATGCGGATATTGTTTTAATGGCATCATAACTATGAATCTACCATTTGGATCACGTGTAGTAGTTTTTTGAAAATTGTCCTCGCACAATTGCTCTTCTTCAGATAGATGAGGAATATTTGGCAATTCCTCTACTTCCCAAAATTGCTGAAGAAGTTTAGTTAGTTCCAGATTTGTGCTAAGATTGCAAGATATTGTATTGTGGGGAACCGATCCCAGCGGGCCAGAAATTATCCACCCAAATATTGTTTCTGTTAAAATAGGACCTTGATCTAAAGATATGCGACCTTTACAAATCAAATGCCAAAAAATATCTGCGCCGATAAGAATGTCAATAGATCCAGCATTGCCAAAATTAGGATCTGCTAACCGAATTGTATTAGGAATGTTTATAGCGCTTACATCAATGTTTGTATGAGGAAGAATATTTGTTATTTTTGGCAATACAAAACAGTTGATTATTTTTACAAATTTATTATTAGATGTGCAAATCTCTAACTGACATTGACCTGTAATAGTTGATAGTTTGTTGCCTATGCCCAAAAGATTTAAGCTGACATCTTGTGGTTTGATTCCTAGTTTGTTACACATGTTTGTTGTGATAAATGAAGATTGAGACCCGCAATCCAATAGTGCACGAGCCCTTTGCATTTTACCATTCATATCTTTAACACTTAAGATTGCTGTTGAGAGAAAAACATAGCCTGTATCAGAACAAGAAAGCATGCTGTTACCACAAAATGTATTGTTACTTGTTCCTGGATTTATTGGCTCACTTGTACTTTGTGATGGATTTGTATTAATACTGCTATTGGATATATTCGAATTTCTATTGAACGTGCCCGAATTATTTTGGCTTATAATGATGCTCCTATCATTTGTATTATTGTGTAAAAGTGAGTTGTGACGTGCTTTGCACTTGCGACATGGCCCGAGTTTGCACTGTTTATTGGAGTGACCCGATCGCAAGCAGTTTGTACACAATGATTTTGATCTAATAAAATTCCACCTTTCGTTTATTGGATAATTTAAAAATGTTTCGCAAGTGTAAATGCTATGGTCGCCTTGACAAGAGACGCATGTATAGTTTGTTTTTGTTGCTAAGAATCCCCTAGTCGTCCTGTTCTCCTTACTTTTATTTTTTGTTTCAATGTTCATTTCAATTGCCTCTAGAAAATCTGCTCTTGATTTTAAAAATCCTTTTAGATCGGATAAAGTTGGTAGTTCCGTTTGAGTAGCAATATGCTTTTCCCATTCCCTAATAGTAGTTTCGTCTAGTTTTGATGTTATAATGAATATAAGTAAGGCATCCCATTGTTCACACGGCTGATTTAATTGTTGAAGTGACTTTAAATGTTTTGAAAAATCATCTACTAATTTACGAAATTTTACAAAAGATTCTTTGTGAATAGATTCCAATGAAAATAAAGCTTTAATATGATTGTGTATTAAGAGTTTTTTATTATTGTATCGATCACATACAGAGTCCCATGCCAAATTGTACCCGTTTGCGGAAAATTCGATAGGTTTTATGACTGCGGCGGCATTTCCTTGTAATGATGCCCGAAGATAATGATACTTCTGAATATTTGTAATACTATCATTTGTATGAATGAGTGACTCAAAAGTGTCTCGAAATTCTAGCCAAAATTCGTATGTGCCGTCGAACTTTGGAATTTGTATTGTTGGCAGTTTTACACCTTGTAAACGATAAGCCCCGTCAGAAATAGAAGTGTTATTGTTTGTATGCTCGTTTGTCACCGACTGTTTATCATCAATATCTGAAATGAATTTATTTAACAATGCTTTGGCATTAGCCGATAGTGAATAAAAATTGTTTTCAAGTTCTTCCCTTATCACAAAGTGTGGTTCGGGATCGTCTGCCAATTCTTCTATTTCTGATTGGATAATTTTAATTTCTAAAAATGTATTTTCTAGTTTATTTATTCTGTCGCTTAGTTCGATTTTTTCAACATCATGTAATTCTAATTTGCATTTAATAGACTCTAGAAATTTGGAGAAAATTGTAAATGAAGCTTTATGACCAGCACGTTTTCTAATTAATCTTTTTAAGTGTTCGTCCGACATTGTTTATTAATCAAATAGATTCGAATTGAATTTAAATAGATATATAGATTGTAAATAGTTTTATGCAACTTACACAAACAAAAACAGTATAAATAGGTATAGGAATCAGATGGGAACTCACCGGTATTTTTGGCTGTATATTGTTCGGCAATCCCACGTGTTCTTTCACTTGACCGTTAACTGTGAATCACTTTTAGCACTGATTTTATCACAAATATCGGGTCGAATGGACCAATGTTTATTGTTGTAGTGGACTGTATTTATTGAAATTAATTAATAGTCTAAAATACTGCATTTATTTATGAATTTGCACAAAAATATGAAAACAATAACAAATAGTTCTATGCTTCTCAACGGCTGGTGATGGAATGTCATTCTGTCATCTGTCGTCTGTACCGACTAGCTGGCTGGCTGGGCTGCAGTGGCGGACCGTTCAAATACAAAATGGGTTGTCGTCGACAACATTGTTGCTATGTAAAGTTGGTTTCATTGTGTATACATAGTCACTTACTTACTGTATGGCAGATTATACATTTTTCAATTAACTGAATAATTCATGTTTTCCTAATTCTAGCTTTACTTTGTTTAAATGTGTTGATACATGATTTTCCATTTTAAGCCTAGTTTATAGTGTTTGTTTTCTTTTTTTGTAGTTATTATTATTTCCAGAACATTGACCTTCATGCTTTAACTGGCTGGATCCCAGAGAGAGCTGCAATAAAGAACTGTCCAGACTTTAATAAGGATGCAGTGTTTCAGAAAATCGAAACACGCATGGCAAAAGGGGATGTTTTGGTGTCTGTTGCTACAGGAGAACTTTCCGATGCGCAAGCTGAAAGAACTGGGCTTGTTGCTACTCATGCTTATGCTGTAATGGATGTGCAGACCGTTAATGGGGTAAGTCTTTGGTTGTTATGTTACTAATTTGTAAAGTTAAGTTGCTTTCCTTATAATTATTATACCATTTTCTTGTATATTTGTGATACTTTCCAGCAACAACTGCTAGTCCGTTATTGGTACATTTACATCTATCGTTCTCAGCAATTTCAATTGATTATGTTATTGTTTCATTAAGCTTATAGTATTGCCAGAATCTAATATGAGGTTGGTTTAAAATTAATATAGCTTAAGTAACATTCCACTTTCTTCATTTTATTTTTCAATGTAGATTACTTTTATCTTAATACAGTTTCCACAAATAAGTCGCTTTTTGTAACTATTATCTGAATCCACCGGATTGGGAACCGAAACGTTAAAATGAATGTAAAATATAATTCTCATTACAATCATATGAGGTTTAAAACCCATATAAAATAATATATATCTTAAACATGCCACAGAAAAACAATTTCAGAATATTTTTACTTACTTTTGCTCCCAAAATATACCCCTAACCAAACTTTATATTGACAATATCTAACAATAATTCAGCACATTGATTAGTATGTGTCTGATGGTTGATCTGATGAAATGCTGGGAGTTTGGTCGTGAGCTTCATTAGATGTTCATATATTTTAAACAAGCATTTGATAGAGTATGCAGGGACAGACTGTGGACAGCGATTCAGAAACTTGGCTTTCCAAAAAAACGAGTCAGCTTGATACGGATGTGTATGGAACGGTTACGATGTAAGGTGAGAGTTGGACAACAATACTCGGAGACATTTGAAATAAACAATAGACTAAAACAGAGAGATGCACTTTCACCACAACTCTTCAATTTAGCTCTGGAGCACATAATCAGAAGTGCAAGAATCGAAAAACCGAATACAGTATTTCATCGAGAAGGACCAAACTTACTACTGGCATTTGCAGACGACATGGATCTAATAGGAAACACACGATTAAGGATGAAGGAGACTTTCGTGAGGTTCGAGAAGGAAGCAGAGAAGATGGGACTCCAAATCAACGACAACAAAACGAAATATATGTATATGAGCCGCAATAACTGTCATCGGTATCACTGGCAACCGTCATATTTATTACCACAGGATCAATATCGTCTATCAATCCGTCATTAACACAAAATTTTTGCTCTTCCTTAATAGCAAGTTTACAGTAGTTTTCTATTCTTCTGATTTGTGGGAAGCAATTTGACTTGACTCCATACCTTTTCAATTGGATTCAACACAAAATGGTATAGAGGTAGTCTCAGAATGGCAACATTTTTCTCTTTGCATATCTCGTCGATTTTATATTTTATGTATTCTGCTTTGAATGCGTTTACGATTTCCATAAGCTCTGGTTTTAAATAATCTTCTTCAAAACAGATATCCTTCTCCAGCAACCTTTATTTTTAGTCCAACATTTCATATCTAAATATTTCTGTAAAATGTTATGTACACACTTAGTTAACATATTTACAGCTTTTGCTATCTCACGACTTGTGTAATGATGGTACAGCCCCGCTTTAAACTTTATTCCGTTATATGATGTTTTGCGTTGGCTGGCAAGTCAAAAATGAGAGCAATTCGTTTTCCGGTAATCATATATTGAATCCTAAATTAATGTGAAATCAATCACATGTTCATGTATGGTTCTTTTCAAACCCTTCTTTTAGTGACAAAGAAATGGTTCTTTCTATTACATGGGCTGTGTCTTTCTAAAAGCTTGGAAATCAACTTATCTCAAACATTTTGTTTATTATCAATTATATATTGTGTTTAAATTTTTAGGTGCGATTATTTAAGCTTAAAAATCCCTGGTCCCATCTTAGATGGCGAGGAAACTACTCCGAACTGGATACTAGACGTTGGACACCCGAGTTACAGAGGATACTCAATTTTGATCCAAACAGTGCAGCTCAGTTCGACAATGGTGTATTTTGGATAGATTATGACAGTCTTTGCAATTTCTTCGATGTATTCTATATGAACTGGAACCCAGAACTGTTCAAGCATACATACTGTATTCATCAGTAAGTATAATCTGTTAGTTAAATCTTTGCAGACGTGTGACGCTATTACTGAAGTATTTTTTACTCACAAAACATCTTTGGGTGCCTTGTCCTCTAAGAACATTGGCGACTAATCGCATAATCTTTACTTTGTTCGCAGCGGACCTAATTAATGTCGTGGTGCTCCATGGCGGAGGTTCTTAAGCCAGTATATTCTTCATCGTCTACTTTAACGACTGTATGGTTTTAGTCAATTATAGTAATGAGGAGAAAAGTTTGGAACGAAGAAAAAAAATTAATTGCTAGCAACAGAATTGAACGATAGAATGAGACACGGGAACAGCTGATTTGCATGCCTGTAGTAATTTAAAATGGGGAAAATTTGATCTAAATAAGAAAACTAAGGAGCTGCAATCAAACATTTAAGAACTCAATAGATTTTATTGGGCGCTAGGCGTAGAATACGATCCTACACCGATAACAGTGACTTTAGGATAAGAAGCACAGTTAAGAGTATCTCAACAGGAGTGTGACCACAGTTATATTTATGATTCGAAAATATAATTTATAATATATATATATATATATATATATATATATATATATATATATATATATATATATATATATAATTGTATTTAAACCGTATGTCATTATTGGAATGCATTAATGCCAATGGCAGCCAATATCATGCGGATTCTTTGATCTACTTCCGCATGTTGGTTTCTTCTGCTCAAGTTGATTAAATGAATCTAGTGAATATATTCTCCCACTTTTTATCACTTCCTCCCACAGTAACTGGTACTTCCAAAGTAAGAATCTAGGTCTTTGTTGGTTTCATTTTCAAGCCTTTTCTTTCTGAAATATTTCTTAATTATGAAAGCATTTCTTATAGCTGGCTGAGTACTAATTATGGCAATATCGTCCGCAAAGCGGAGATGTATCAGGTATTTTCTGTCGGTATTTAAACCTTTTTGCTTTCAGTTATGCTGCTTGAAAACCTCTCTAGGGCCAATGTGAATAACTTCGGAGAAATCTTATCACCTTATTTTACTCCCTCTGAATTTGTAATTTGTTGGATTTTGTGTTTGTATTAATTTTTATTTCTAATGTAGCATTTTCGTTTAAATGTTATAGCAGATTCTTATATCTCGAATCTATCCATGCGTTATCTATTGGTTCAAATACGGCACACAGTTCGGCAATCAAATTGAAAGAAAATGACTTAATAGTCAACAAAAGCTAAGCGTAGGGGGACATTGTATTCGTTTCATGTCTATATAAATATTCGGATATCCTGAATCTGTTCTATAGTGCTATAATCTTAGTGGAAATCTGCATGTTCTGGAGGTTGATAGCTGTCGAACTTATTAGATAGCCTGTTAGTAATAACTTTTGTGAGAATTTTGTATGATATTTGTATGTATATTTCCTGCATTACTACAAATACTTAAATAATGTGTTGAGCACTTTTGGCCTTTTACGTATGTAAACATTTACGATTTTGTAGATCTTGGAATGCAGGAACTGGTCCAGTTAAAGATCTTTACACCATCTCCGCAAATCCGCAGTTTTCGTTGGACGTACAAGGAGACTCGTCAGGCGCTGTATGGCTTCTCCTTTCCAGACATATTACAGATATCGAAGATTTTAGGGACAACAAGGAGTACATTACGCTCTTCGTTTACCAAGGAGGAAGAAAAATTTACTATCCCTGTAAGTTAGATTTTTATCACTAAAAGTATAAAATCAGTATGATCATTAAAATAATATAATAAACAAGGTCATAAGCAACATACAGCTGTCAGTAAATGGGTTTACCGTTATCATTTAATATGCAGGGCAGACAGATATCAAAGTATTTTCTTTTCCTCTTTACTCTTGTCTTCTCACTCTACACAACATTTTCTCTCTCTCTCTCTCTCTCTCTCTCTTGAGGATGTAGAAGACTGAGATACTGATGTCAACAAATAAGAGAGACGAGGTGAGAAGGAAACCAAGCAGAGACACGAAGTGGAGGTTTTCTTTTACAGAAGGCACAATGAAAAGAAAACTCAGTAACGGATATGGAACAGTAAACCAGAATTTCAGCGACAAAGATTGAACGTGTTACAGCAAAGATCCAGCCAAGATGTGCTGATTTCTAAAGATCGTGGAACAAAGATCAGTCATAGCAGCAACAACGCTTCGGAGATTCAAATGCTTGAAAAATCACTTGAAAGTGTGGCCAAATTCAGTTCCAGGCGGGAACAACAAAAGGGTGAGCTTTCTGATTCACCTCAGTTTCAGAATTTAGATTATGGGGACTTCAATCCATCACCGCAATCACACTTGATTCTACACTCCATTATTAATAATACATATTAGTTTTAATAAAGATCCTCCAAAGAAATCGCCAAACGTACTACAAAGTATTAACAACTTGACAACCAAGCCCACACAGGTACCTCTTCTGACAAATCCGAGAACGCAATTTCTAAAGAAGTTGGAAAGAAACGCAGTTATTGATAATATATTTGTCACCGGCGACCATAGTAACCCGTTCGATAAGACCCCAATTTGGTATAATAGTTTTACCTTTAGCTTACTGAAAAAGAAAGAAATCTGATGATTTTGTGCTACCCAATCTACCAGGAGCTACAAACAGCCTTTTAAGGAGTAAAAAAAGAACACGTTCAGAGAAGTTGCTACATTTTTCGAATAATATAATAGCGGTAAGACAATTATTAAGATAATTGTGGGTAGCGGGTAGGAACTCCTTTGGAGTCCTTTGGATTCTATTGGATAGTCCTATCAGGGAAAGTGAATCAATCCCTGCCCTTCGCAGATTCCAGGAGCTTCTTGACCCGGGAAGCTAGCACCTGCTAAGGGTCCCTTGTCCAGGGTCACGGATGAAGTCCAGAACGGTCAGTAGTATAAGATCACAACCCGCGGCGTATAATCCAGAGTGGTCGGGGCCAAACAGCGTCGGACCAAGAATGGGCGGCTGAAACACTCACCAACACGTCTAGCTAGCGTGGTGTTTAAAGGCTAAATACTCCTCACGAAAATATCAGTTGAAAACACGCAAATACCCCAGGCAAGTAGGAAATTATTTTCAGAATCTTGCACTGATAAATTATCAGTCTGTCCTATGGATTCCGGTGGGGGGGGGATGGGACAAAAAATTGACAAAGAGAGGAAAAAGTTACCGAATAAGACGACACTTTATATAGGAACATATAATGCACGTTCCCTACTATCTGATGAAAGACTTACTGAACTTGAGTGAGAACTAGAAAACATAAAGTGGGACATAAACGGTCTCAGTGAAGTCAGAAGACGTGGCGAACACTTAATTAAACTAAAATCAGGACATAGTTTTTACCACGTAGGTGACGACAATAATTCCTTGGGAGGAACCGGCTTCATTATACACTAGCGTCTCCAAACAAGTATAGTATCACTAAAGAAATTTTCCACAAGATTGATTTGTCTTACTCTCAAATTGAATACAAGGTATAATATGAAAATAATACAGGTTTATGCACCAACAAAAGATCATGATGAAAGAACGCCAAAACAGGAATGAAATCCAACCCTACAGAAACACCACTGGGAAACTTTGGCTTGGATGCTAGAAATATATCGTATATAGCTTGGATATGGTTTTTTCTCGGAGAACCTCAAGGAGATAATATGTACAATGCTAGATGAACTTCAGATAGTGCCAGTGTGGGTCTTAAAATAAACATCTCCAAAACAAAATTCATGACAAACCGCGGAGAAATCAATATTGGAGACAATGAAGTAGAACTGGTGGAAAAATACATATATCTTGGACACAGAATAAAGATCACAAGAGACAACCAAACATGTGAACTACGAAGAAGAATAAACCTAGCTTGGGCAGCCTATGCCTATGGAAAACTCAAAGACATCTTTAATAGCGATACACTAATTTCTTTAAAACGTAAAACATTTGACCAGTGTGTGTTGCCTGGGATGACCTATAGTGCCGAAACTTTGACATTGACAGCTACAAGTTCTAAAACGCTGCAAATAGCTCAGAGGAAAATGGAAAGGTAATGCTGAGTATATCGCTTCGTGACCGAGTTAGAAATGAAGACTTAAGACGAAGAACAGGAGTTACCGAAGTAATTTCCCGAATTGCCACACTGAAATGGAACTGGGCCGGACACGTCGCCCGAATCAGTGATGATAGGTGGATGAAGAAATTGCTTGAGTGGAGGCCGAGGTTAGACAAAAGAAGTAGAGGAAGACCCCCTACACGTTGGACTGACGATCTCAAGAAAATGTCAAGAAATTGGATGAAAAGTGCTCAAGATAGGTGCTCTAATGGACAAAAATGAGGGAGGCCTATGTTCAGCAGTGGACGCAAAGGGCTGGGTGATGAAGAAAATTATTGTATAGGATGAGAAGCCAAGAGTAAAGAGGAAAAGAAATTACTTTGATATCTGTCTTCCCTGCATAATAAAGGATACGGTAATCCCATTTACTGACAGCTGTATGTTGCTTATGGTTTTGTTTATTATATATTTTTATATTTTGCATAGAATTTCTCTTTGTATAATCATGTGCTCGTTTCGTACTTGACAAGGACAATTTTTAAGTTTTTTCATTTCAAACACTTATCAAATTGCTTAGTATTTATTTTTCTGATGTTTATGCAAAATGTTCTATTCAATTTTTGCCATTTTTAGCCACAGGGTAGCTTTTTTATCGCTAGTTTTTTTTGCCATATATCATTTTCCTTCATTCATTTATTGAACAAAAACTTTATTTTATTTCATTCATTAATTACTGTGGATCGATTAACAACTTTTCATCAATCTACTAACTGTTTTAATAAAAGCGATATTTAATTTCTAGTTGATCCTCCACCTTACATTGATGGAGTTAAAATCAACAGTCCGCACTATCTTTGCAAAATATTGTTGAGTCCTGGGTCTAGTAGGAAGTTTACAGTTGTTGTTTCCCAATATGAGAAGTCTACAACCATTTACTATACGTTAAGAGCTTATGCCACTTTACCATTTACGTTGACGAAAATAGTTGATCCGTACAAATACGAAGATCAAGTAAGTAAATAACACATGGATATTACATGGTTTTTTAGTATAATCCTTAAATCTGGGATATCGGTATTTATTTATTGAAATTCACTACACGCTAGAGCACGATAAGATTGTAGCGCTGTAAAATTGATGTGTTTAAGAGTCTTCAAATGTGAAGTTTATTGTGGGTTATAATCATTGAAAAAAAAAAAAAATGAAAAACAATGTTTTGAACAAAAAAAAATTAGTTCTAAATATTATTTTTATTTAAATATTGTATTTATATTGTGTTTATGGATTGGTATGGAAACAAATCTCAGTTGAACTGTATGCTCGCAATGCAGTTTGTTTAACTGCTGAGGAAACGCCTTGTTCGAGTAGACAAATTGCGGATGAAGTTGACCTAAGGAGAATTGTAAGGAATATTTACATAAGTATTATTAAACCACCTAAGAACTTTTTCCAGACGATCATTTTAAACATATGGAATTTTGTGAAACTATGATGGAGAAATCGAATGAGAACAATAACTTTTTAAAAAATATTTTGTTTTCCAATGAATCTTTCCGCTATTGGTTTAGGGAAAATAAACATTTGAGTATTGCTCTGTGGACTGGACTTATAAGAATAATATAATTGGTCCATTTTTTATTACGGGAAATCTGAATGGACGTACGTATCTAGATTTATTACGCAATCAGACTATTCCAGCAGTTCGAAACCTTGAGGTCAACTTCGATTATGTCTGGTTTCAACAGGATGGTTGCCCAGTACATAATGCAATAGAAGTTACCAATAATTTGGCACAAACATTCCCTGTACGATTAATTTCTACACGAGAACAATAAAATGACCCCCTAGATCACCAGATGTAGCACCTTTGGATTTTTATTGCCGAGAAAGCTAAAATCAAAATTGTATCGGCATGAACTAGAACGAGCCACCAATTTAGCAAATTGCAGAATTGCGAAAAAATTGTTCTTTAACTCAGTAGTCGAATGCAATGAGACTTGCTTTACTTGATAGATTCGGATTTTGTTTACCGCAAAATGGTGGTTTGTTCGAACATTCAATTTGTTAGAGATTTTTTAAAAAATGCCTTTAATTTTAATTTAATTATTTAGAATAATAATATTTATGTTTTGTTAATGTTAAGTTAATTACTGTTCCAAGCTACCACAACTAAAAAGTTACAATAATTGCATTTAAAACTCGAATATCAGTGGGCCACTGAGATGTATTTGTGTAAACTAATTAATTTTTAAGGTACACTTTAAAAAGTCATTTATAATAAATATGGGTACAAAAAAAAATTAATTTGGCCACAAAAAAACTCACCGCGTGAGTCGCGTTGGTGGCCACAGGGCAGAAAATGTGTCGGTTGAACTTAAAAAAAATAATAATCTGATTGAGAAAAGATATAATTATGAACCTAGATAACTAACATAAGTAAGTATTAAATGGCAACAACATCAAGAAAACAAATTAATTATCTAATTTTTAATTTCTTCATGAAAACGTCTAAAACAATTTTCTAAGCACAATCCCGGATGTTCAGGACACTCCGCACAATAAAACAATGAGTCCTTTCTTTCTTTTTTAGTTTGCCAGCAATATTTACACCGTCGTCGTTTTGTAATACCATTAGCTGATTTAGGGCAATGGGATGGCAAATGAAACGTCAAATTTTTCTTGACTTGAGGGATTTTTGGATCAATTTCTTTCCTAGATATTTCCATTATAACCATTTCATGGCCAAATTCGGAAAAGATCATTAAAATATCTCGCTGATCGTTCCATTTACACACACATATCCCTTTATTATTGTAAGCACTTACCAGTTCATTTTGTTTTAATATTCGAGAAACAACTTCGTGTGGATTTTCCGCTCTTCGTGTTCTCAATGTTCCTGTAAGATAAGTTTTAACCGAAAGTAGTTTTTTACACAATGGAACACTTATTAAAATTATCCATATATAAGGAGTGACCAACATTTAGTTTCGAATCCATCAAATTTAGCACTACTTTTTCCGTATGATTACGTCCTCCAACTACGGGGTCACTCTCTCCACTATAAACTAATATACGTTGAATCATCAACATCATATAACGGGGGTCCTACGGCGATTGCCGCTTCCCGCATTTCAGCCTCCATCTTTTCCTATCTCTCCAATCTCCCTCTTCTAAGCCTCTAGATTGCATTGTTTTTGTAATTTCTCTTCTCCAGGAATTTGGTGGTCTTCCCCTTTTCCTTCTTTCTGGCGGAACATACATTAAGGCTTTCTTTGGCCACCATTCCTCCTCCATTCTCATCACGTGACCATACCATTGTAATTGCCTTCCTTGTATTCTATCTGAAAGAGTATCTCTAATTCCTGTACGGTTTCGTATTTCCTCATTCCTGATTCTTTCCATTCTCGATACTCGACATGACCTTCTAAGATAATCCATTTCCACAACGTCTACTTTATCTCGTTCATTCTTTGTCATCGTCCAACATTCGGCACCATATGTGGTAATTGGTTCTACAATTGCTCTGTATACGCGAAGTTTGGTATGCATCTTTATTTTATTAGACCACAGTAATGAATTCAGTATTCGGATGCATTTTTTCCCTTGGGTTATTCGGTTTTGTACATCTATCTTAACTCTGCCATCTGCTGATATGATGCTTCCTAGATATTTATACTGGTTGCAGCCTTTTATGACTGCGTTTTCAAGCCTCAGATCTGTGGTATTTCCTCCAATTTTTAAATATTCTGTTTTGCTTATGTTTACAGTAAGCCCCCATTTGGCATATTCCTCAAATAATTTTCGATTCATATAATTTATATCTTCCTCATCGGTTGCAACCACCACCTGATCATCTGCAAACAACAATGTATACAGAGTTTCTTGTCCCACTTCGATGCCCATAAATCTACATTTATTTCTCCAATTCCTCAATGCTTCTTGGACGTATATTTTAAAGAGTGTCGGTGACAAACAGCATCCTTGCTTTAGGCCTTTAGTGACTTTAAATTCATTTGAGGTTCTGGTTCCAATTTTTACACAACTAACTGCATTTTCGTACAATTTATATATCGCTCGGATATACGTCGAATCCAATCCGGACCTTTTGAGGACCTCAAACATTTTCTTTAACGGGACACTATCATATGCTTTCTCAAGGTCTATAAATACCAAATGGGTCTCTCTACTTCTTTCGACACGCTTTTCAATTATTTGTCGTAGGATAAATATATTATCAAGGCAGGATCTCCCGGTACGAAAGCCGCTTTGTTCTTCAATATCTTGTATCTGTCTTTCAACCCTCTTCTTTAATATTCTGCCGTACAACCGGCCCACAGAGCTCGTCACACTAATACCTCTATAATTGGAACAGTCTCTTTTATTCCCTCTCTTATATATGGAGCTTATATAAGATTTATTCCAATCTTTAGGAATTTCCTGGTCTCCACACATACATTTATTGAAAAGGTCTACTATTAATTCTAAAAGTGCAGTCGGCCCATATTTAACCAGCTCTATGGGAATGTCTCCAGGCCCTGCGGCTTTTCCGTTTTTAACCTCTTTTAAGGTTTCCGTCAATTCAGATAATGTTATTATAGGGATTTCCTGTCTTTCGTCTCTGTTGTCTATTAATTCCCTTATCTTTTCCCATCTGTACTCTACTCTATCCTCTTTCAGCAGTTTCGTATAATATTCTTCCCATTCATTTAACTTTATGAGAGAAATGTTGTCTTCATTTTTCTCATTTTTCCTAAACTGTTTTAATGTTTTCCAAGCTTGCGCCACTTTTGTTCCACCCATAAATCTGTCCAGTTCATCACACTTAGCCTCCCAGTTTATATTTTTCGCCTTATCCACGTCTTTTTTAACTTCTCTATTCCATTTAGCGTATATTTCTCTGTCTTGAGGATCTTTGGATTGAAGCCATATGTGATATGCTTGTTTTTTCTTGAGAACTTTCTCTTCTAGTTCCGTTGACAACCATTCAGGTTTTCCTTTTTTCCGATTTTCAACTTTTCCCAGTGCTTCATTTGCCGCTTCATGAATATATTTTTTAATTACCTCATACAGACTTTCGGGGTCTAAGTCCTTTGTTTCTATATTTTTTATTTTCTGAGCTATTCTAATTTTATATAAGAACTTTGTCGAATCTTGTTTAAAGCTTTCCAGGTTATATTTTATGTTTTCTATGGTTGTTCCTATGTCTGTTACTTCATCATTTTTGTGACTTGATTGTTCTCTCTTAAATGTCACCATTACTTTTGCAATAATCATATGGTGGTCACTTCCACATTCTGGCCCTCTAAACACCTTCACGTCCTTCGTTTTTAGTTTAGAATCTTTACGATGAATGAAATAGTCAATTATTGATTTTAAATTCCTGGTAGGCTGCGTCCATGTAAATTTATGTATATTCTTATGGGGGAAGAAACCATTTAATATTTTCAAAGAATGTGCCTCGCAAAAATCTATTAATCTTTGACCATTGTCGTTCAGAATGTCTTCTCCATATCTCCCTATTATTTCACTGTTGGAGCTCTTTCCGGTTCTTGCATTAAGATCACCTAAGATCCAAATTTCTTTCTTCTTATTAATTGTGGCTAGAACAGTTGTTAACTTGTTAAAGTACTCTTCCTTGCTGTCAACCCTTGAGTCATCCGTCGGTGCATATGTACGTTGAATCATCCCGGTACATTCTGAAAAAGTATACAGTTTGACACCATATTTGTGTCGTTTGCTCTTGAGAAATTGACGAAAACTAAGTCTTCCTCTCCATAAAATCATAGATTCGTCCAGGGCTAATTTTCTTTCTGGATAATAAAGATTCTCCATTTTATTATTAAAAAAATCTAACAATGGAGATATCTTGGCAAGTCTGGACTGGTTATTGTCACTATTATTGTTAAAATGTAAGGCACGCAAAATTAAACATAAAGCGATTTCGGCTCATGTATATTGTCCAAACACTGGAATACTAAATAAATGATTTTTCTTCCAATAATCATTCATACGATTAATTTTTATGGTTCCCATGTGAAACAACAAACCAAGAAAAATTTTAAATTCTTCTACAGTTATATCCCTCCAAGCTGCAATTCTACTTTTCTCAGATTTACTTATAGAATTATAAGAATATATATAATATAATATATAATACTCAGAATATTAAAGAATATCAACGGCATATGAAGTAATCAATAGGATTGCTGCCACCCACATTAATTTTCAATCCTGGTATTGCTGTAAATGGACTAGGATGTTGAACCTCTGAAGACCATTCAATAATATTTTGAGACATCATCACCATCATCATCTTCTGATTCTTCTTGTAAATCAGGATCGTCTGTCCGATCATCTTCATCACAATAGATGGGCAATCACAATAGAGGAAGGCGTTGCTTAAAATTTTACAACTCGTCAGGAGAATAATGCGTTGTTGCTACACATAAATTCCTTAAATTGATGTTCTTTGTTAACTAATTAAGTTTGTTCCGTAATATTTCCGCGGTTAGTACAATTAAATCTAGAGCTAAGGGTAATACTATTATAAGAATTAATATTGAACTCAACAGTCTTCCGGGTTGAACCGCGTGGATTATCATTGTGCCGAGCTTTCGACATCCTCTTTGTTCAGGGCTTCCGAGCCCCTAGACACTACTAAACTGACCACTAACCAATGCATTACTGCCACTGGAAACAGAGGAGCGCTCATTTATACCGTCGATGTTGACGTGGTTTGGGTGGAGGTTGGCGTGGGGGTTAGCGTGGGGATTATCGCGAACGTTTCTGACAGAAGGATTTTGATTGGGGGGTGGAGCAGACGATATTTTCTTTATGAGAGATGTCTCCATGTCGAAGGTAACCGTAGCCGTCATCTCTTAAAGTCATAAAAGAGGTAGAAATTGAAAAAAGACCAAATTGTCTCAATAAAAGAGATATTTTACGAGAAGTCAATATTTTACGGGATTTTCATGTTACAGATGTTAATATCATTGCTATCTATAATAATTAAAAAAATGTTACAATCCATTTATTTATTCTAGATGACTGGTGAATGGCGAGGAATCACCGCAGGAGGCTGTCCAAATCATCAAGCGTCTTACCCAAATAATCCACGATTTATATTAGACCTTGATTCAATTTCAGATAACAACCATATTTTAATAGAATTAAAAGGACCTAAACAATACCAATTGGGATTTGAAGTAATGATACAGCAGGTTAAAAATGAATCTACTACTGCACCGTTTAGAGCAAAATCTTCTGGATCATACAGGTATGATTCACTGAGAAGAACCATATTTATACTTTGAATGTTCTAACATGAGGCTGTTATACTTATTAATACAATCATAGCAAACTTATGAAATGTTGTCCTCCTTTTAGAAAATTATAGTAATTCAATTTATTTTTTAGGTCTGGATACGTCGTTATGGATTTACCAGGTATTCCAGCTGGTACACTGCGTATAACTCCATCAACATTTTATCCAAATCAAGAAGGCCCCTTCATCATAAACGTGAAATCATCTGCACCGTTTAAACTTCTTAAAGCTTAAAGCTTTTTTGTTATGGTTTACTTAAAATTTATTAAAAATAACACATTGACGAAAAATGGATAATATACGAAATAATATAAGCGAAAAAATTATGCTTACAAAAATTTAAAGAAGCTTCTAGAAAAGTAGTGACTACTTTCCTAGTTAATGGCAGTACTAAAAATGCACTGCGTTTGAGGGGTTTTTTCTTTCTTTATTCATTATTATTTGGTCATCTTGAGTATTGAGGCACTCCTATCTTTGAGTAGGAGTAGGTAGAAGTAGGCCAAGAATCCACAATGTGGCTTAAGATTTTAATGAACAAAATAATTTTCTATATTTTTGAGCACTTTGTGGACGATTTCAGTTTTTTTTTACATTTCTATATTGCCAAACTTCCTTGACCGCTATACACTACAGTCTTATTAAGAAAATTGTCGAAATTTGTTGAAACTGTCCAAATTACTATTTTGTTTTTTTTTCAATAAATATTTTAAAGAATTAACAAAAGATTGCACAATGGCTCCAACCTTCTTTAAAATTTATTTAAATTCATACCAATCAAGAAAACATCTTAAAAGTAAGCTTGGAACAACTTTGATTTGATTATGGATATAGTAAATATCGTTAATAAATGTGATAACTGTTTTCTAATTTCTGATTATCGGTGATCTCGTATGAGTTCTCACCGGTATTTGGCTGTATTATAATTCTTGTACCACGCAGATGATATACCTAATATGGCAATTTTAGTTAAATCTCGTATTGATAATTACCTTTCGTCAATGTGTTCAATAAAAATAAACATAAATTGCTTTCAATGCAAAAGTAACTTTATTTACACTGCTTATGTAAGTTTGTTGAATTTTATGAGTCTATTAGTATACGAGTACTGTTTTTATATATTTAAAATGCTATTTTCTTATTGTAAAAAAAACATGAATAAAACTCTTTGAATTTTGTGAAGGATTATTAAAGTTTGATATGTTTATATCCTTACTTTTATTTATTACATTTCTGCCAACAAAAAAATAAAGAATGAAAAAATTGGTAACATGACTAGTGAGGTCTATCTACTATGACTTAAAATAAACTAAATACTAACAATGCTATACAAGAATACGCAAACCAAGAATAAGATTAGTCTTGAAACGATCTTCATCACATAGGTAACTAACCCTTGAAAGAAAATTAAAAAAACTTATAAATAAAAATATAGAAATCTTCAGTTAAAATGGATCCAAGTGCAGTTGGCTCCCTTTTATTCCAACATAAATTCAATATACTGTAACTTGTATATCGCATATAGCTATTGCTGTGGTGGACACAACCAAAATAAAAGTATTGTAATACTGTTTATGTCTTCTTTCTTCTTCCTACTTTATAAATAGGCTTAATGCCTGTTTTACTTCGGTTTTTAGCCTGAATTGACGTTGTCTGACCATCTTTTCCTCGGTCGTCCCAATGATCTTCTTCCATTTGGCGATTTGTCTCTTGCTATTCGTACTATTCTATTTTCTGTCATTCTTTCGATGTGTCGATTCCATTCCACTTTTCTTCTTTTGGTCCACGCGTTTATTCCCTCTATACCACATCTCGCTCGTATTTCCTCACTTCTTAGAGTTTGGTTTGTTATTGTTACGAACGTGCATTTAACGAGGCACGTATAACGGTTGCATCTCGAAACAGCACCTCATGCTTCCATGCGGCGCGGCGGCATCTCGAAAGCGACTAGATATTTCGAGAAAGATCAGTCACGTATACGCCTAGAGGTGGGAACTTTCTAGAAAATAGTAACTTTGGTATATATATGTAACGATCTTAGGAGTTAGTTGAGTTGATAAGAGAGTACCGAACTGTAAAGTTATAAATAAATATATTTGTATAAATTCGAACCGCTCGTTTTATTTAAACACGCTACAGTTGGTGTCACCGTGTGAGGACAATTGATTTGAATATCAATTCAACAGTGATTTTGAAAAAGACTTTTGAACTTTTGAAAAGTATTGTTTGTCGGGAACATCCGCGTAGTTCAGTAGTGATCGTTGTACGAAAGAACATTTAAAAAGTACGTGTGTGCCTGACCAAAGATGCTGCTAGTAGAACTTTCAGTGAAACAGTTGCGTGAGCAACTAGAAGAACGCGATGAAGACTGCAGCGGGTCCAAGAAGATCCTCCAAGAACGACTGAAGACTGTTCTCAACAAGAATGGAGACGACCCAGAGACATTCCAGTTCCAGTCAGCAGAAGAAGCAGTTTTAACTAAAATAATGATAAAAATTCGAATGTTCCAAAGATTGATGAAACGTCACAAATGATTGAAGAATCTTCGAAAAAAAATGATAGTAAATTTGAGAACGTCTCACAAATGATTGAGGAGACTTCTAAAAAAAATGATGATAAATTCGAGAACGTTTCCAAAAGATTCGATGAAACTTCTCAAATTATTAAAGAAACAGCTAGCAAAACGACGAGAAATTTGAAAATATGTCTAGAAGATTCGACGAAGTATGTATTCAGAATAGTGAGAAGTTTGAAGAAGTCTCTAAAACATTCGATAAAGTAGAACAGAAAATCAAACAGTTAGAGAGCATGATAACTAACACGAAATGCTACCACCAATTAATACGGTAGCTTTAGATCCGGTAGTAAAAGAAGAATCACCGAGAGACGAAACGACACATCATATGAGATTCAAATTGCCACCATTTGATGGAAAGTCCTCTTGGTCTATATACCTTAGACAATTTGAAGCTATTGCGACAGCCAATCATTGGACAGAACAAGAAAAAGCTGTTTCCTTGACTGCTGCTTTACGAGGTGATGCTGCAGATATCCTAAGATCATTCCTAAGGGTCAAGAAAAATGTTACCAGACCTTGTTCACTCGACTAGATAAACGTTACGGAGATGCCCATCTACAACAAGTCTACAAGGCGCAACTAAGAAGTAGAACTCAGCGAGCAAGTGAGAATTTGCAAGAGTTTGAAGCAGATGTTGCTCGTATAGTGCGGTTGGCTTATCCGGAGGTACCAGACAACATTTTGGATGAAATTGCCGTAGATACCTTCGTCAATGGGTTAAAAGAAAGTGAATTACAGAAAGCTTTACGACTAGCAAGACCGAAAGTTTTAGATGAAGCGCTCGCTATTGCCTTAGAACATGAAACAGCTAGTCAAACTTCACGGAGCCATCGAGTAAGAACCATCGAAGAAGGCGACGAACTAAACGATGAACGTCTAGAAGAAATGGTACGAAAAATAGTTCATAACACGATGCCGAAGAGACGCGAGCCCAGATGTTGGAATTGTGGTGACGTAGGTCACATTCGCCGCAATTGCAAGAAAATGATACAACAGTCGGAAAACTAGAACGGGTCGACACTAAGGGCAACTGCCGACCTCGAGAAACACAGCCCCCATAGTAACTGTGAACATTACGTCCTCCGGTGGAATTCATAGCTTGTACATCGAGGGTCGTATTAACAATAAATGTAGATCGTTTTTGGTAGATACAGGTGCAACAAGAACTATTGCACGGCCAGAAGTAGTACGAGACCATCTTAAATTATCGCCTGCAACAGTAAAGCTTAGAACAGCAACTGGTGAGATAATTAATACATATGGCGAGGCTAATATGTCAGTATCCATTGGCCAGACCACAGTGAAACATAGAGTATTAATTGCAGAGATCTCCGATGAGTTCATATTGGGGATGGATTTGCTACGGAAAGTTGGGGCTGTATTGAATGTCAAAGATGGAGTTCTCGAGATCGTGGTGAAGAGTTGCCGTTTCATGAAGACAAAGAAGATGTTATCAGCTTAATAACTACTTGTGACGTAACAATACCCGGTAATAGTGAGAAAATTTTGATGGCCAGACCTGATAGTTACTGCCGAGAGGGAAGTTTAAGGATGGTCGAAGATGTGAACAATGCCGAGTTCCTAACGGCAAAAGCTTTGGTGAGAATTCGAGATGTCGTTCCTGTAAGAGTTATGAATTTAAAGGGAACTGCTATTAAGTTAAGTAAAAGAACTTTGATCGGACAGTGTGTTCCCGTGGCTTCGATTTGTTCCATGAGTACTAATGAGAAACCGTCGAAATCTAAGTATCCAAAGGAGCTTGTTGAGACGATGATTAAAACGTGCCAAGATCTTGATGATGAACGAACTAAAAAAGTGAAGTCTATGCTGATAGAATTTCAAGATGTTTTCGCCATTGATAAGAACTATAATGGCAAAACAAGCATAGTAAAGCATAAAATTAATACCGGAGACGCTCAGCCAATCAGACAACAACCTAGACGACTTCCATTTGCGAAAAGAGATGAAGCCGAAGACATCATCAAAGATATGACCAAACAAGGGGTAATTGAACCATCAAACAGTCCATGGACATCACCAGTAGTGCTAGTAAAGAAGAAAGATGGTTCAACACGTTTTTGTATTGACTACCGACAGCTCAATGCGGTAACTAAAAAAGATAGTTATCCTTTGCCGAGAATAGACGATACATTGGATACACTTTCTGGTTCTCGTTGGTTCTCCACACTCGATCTAAAAAGTGGATATTGGCAAGTAGACATGGAGCCAGCCGATCGTGAGAAAACCGCATTCTCGATAGGATCAGGGCTTTGGCAGTTTACAGTTATGCCCTTTGGTTTATGTAATGCTCCGGCCACATTTGAAAGATTAATGGAGGCAGTTTTAAGAGGACTAACATGGAAAACATGCCTGGTTTATTTGGATGATGTAATTGTAGTTGGAAGATCCTTCGATGAACATGCCAATAATCTGACTGAAGTCTTTCAACGATTGCGGGCAGCGAATTTAAAGTTGAGTCCGAAGAAATGTCACTTGTTTCGAAGAGAAGTGAACTACTTGGGACATATTGTAGCAAGTAATGGAGTAACAGCTGATCCTGAAAAACTTGCAGCAATTAAGGATTGGCCAGTACCAAGAGATAAACACGAAATTAGAAGTTTTCTTGGCCTTTGTACATATTACCGACGTTTTGTCAAAG